TCAATCCCTGCCTAATGAAACGTGTGGATTTTCCGCGTGGCGGGGGACAAACAGGGGGCCCACTTCAGCACGTTGATTTGCCATGTCAAACCGAGCCTGGAAAAATGTGGAGAAGACGGGCCCCGGGCTGCTAACGAGACCCCTCCTCCATGAGCATTCTGCCTGGATTACAGCCAGAGCCGCCCCCCCCCCCCAAACGCACCCACTGCTTCAGTGACTTGGTGGAAAAGGAGCCGGCGGCCGCCCTAGAGATGCTGGTGATGGCTGGGTCCTCTCGCTGGGGGGGGGGGGCTGAACTGGGTGAGCTCTGCTACTGCCTCTCTGGGTGACCTTGGGCAAGTCACTTCCTCTCCTGAGGCCTCAGTCCCTCAGCTGTAAAATGGTTCCCAGGCTTTTGGGGGTTTACTGTGAGCTCTTCAGTGCAGGGCCTCCCCCTCCTCTCCCCCTTGGGGGATGTGCAGTGCCTAGGGTTGCCAATGCTCCCGCATTGGCCAGGAGTCTCCTGAAATCAGCTTCAATCTCCTGGTTGCCATTGAAAGCAATCTGGTAGATTTTACTAGGCCAAAAGTCCGGTTGGCGGGGATGGGGCAGCGGGGCTAAGGCAGGCTCCCTACCTGCCCTGGCAGTGCGCAGCTCCCGGAAGGGGTGGCATGTCCCTGCAGCTCCTAGGCGCAGGCAGGGGCGGCCGGTGGGGGTCTCTGTATGCCAACTCCGTAGCTCCCATTGGTCAGGAACTGTGGCCAATGGGAGCTGGGGGGGCAGTGCCTGCAGGCAGGGGCAGTGCACAGAGCCACCTGGCTGCCCCTAGGAGCCACAGGGGCACGCCGCTGCTTCTGGGAGCAGCCGGAGATCAGCGCTACCCAGAGCCTGCCCCAGCCCTGAGCCCCCTCCTACACCCAAACGCCCTCCCGGAGCCTGCAACCCCGCCCCAGACCGGTGAAAGTGAGTGAGGGTGGGAGAAAGTGAACAAGGGAGGGAGGGGGAAATGGAGTGAGAAGGGGCAGGGCCAGGGGGCAGGGCAAGTGTGTTTGGGTTTGTGCCATTAGCCAGTTGGCAACTTCAGCAGTGCCTAGCACCACCGTGGGGCCCAATCTGAGAGGCGGGAGGTGCTAATTAGGAAAATACCACAGCTGGCTCTAAAGCCCGACCATCAAGAGCCTCCTACAATGCTCTATGGACTAATTAAAGCAGGAGTAGGCCCCCCGGCTAGGGGGCAGGGAGATGGGGGTGTGTGGTGTGGGGGGGGGGGCGGGGTTGTCTATCTTTCCAGGGCGTGAGACTTAAGGAGCAGCAGGGGCTGCAGGCGACACGCTGGAGAAAGAAGCAGCGGGTGAAGGGCGGCCTGGAGCCTCGGCTGTGCCCGTTAGCGCCAGGGCAGCGGCATTGGCGGCAGCCACATGGGGCAGAGTGCGTGGCGGCTAGTAACGGCCGGCCGCAGCGATGCCCTGCGGCCGAGGGCCTGCGACTGCCAGCCACCGGCGAACCAGGCCCCGGACACGGCTTAGGAGCCTGCATCTGAGCGGACGCAAGACTGCCCCGTCCGTTGCACAGCAGCCGGTGGGGAATCAGCATTTGGTTTGCAGGAGAACAAACCCCAGCCCCAGCGGCGGGAGAGCCCGGTTCGAGGCCTTGCTCGGCCTGATGCAGAATCTTTTCCGGCCCAGCTCACTGCAAGTCAGGGAGAGGAGGGAATTCAAAGTTAGGGTGGCCCCCGCTCAGGCCCGTCCATGGCGGTACAGCGTGTGTGTCCGCAACCCCACGACTGTCCTGCTACCTGGAACCAGGTATGGCTTCAACTTTGCCAAAAAGGGACCTTTCAGTGCCAGCGGGAGCTACCCTGGCCGGGACCACAGGTTCAGGGAAGGCTGCTACCGCCCAGGTGCAGGTGGAGCTAGAATACCAGGAACACTCGGGCCCTGAGGCAAACCTACCTGAGTTCAGAGTCCCCCTTGGTGCCTTCCCACCCCCATCCCTTTCACCAGCTTCCTTGCCAGGACACAACGCCATCGCCAAGGCCCCTTGCCCAGCCGAAGACAGGCTGGAGCAGCCGAGCCCGAGGCCAGCCAGCTTGTGCCCCGCAGCAGCCCCTGCCCACCGAAGAGGAAAAACAGGTTTCGAGACAGCTGAATGGAGGGCGGATCCAGTCGGGCTGATCTGCCACCCACCTCTCCAGCCCTTGCCAACTCAGCACGCCCTCGCTTAGCTTCGAAGGCAGGGAGCTCATGCTGAAAGAGCAGCCCCCTTTCTGGACCTTGGCCACAACGGGCCTGGTCCTGGGGGGAGTAGAGTCTCCCTCCCACGCTCAGCTAGAACTTGGGCTTCTCCCGTCACCCCCGGGCTGGGGCAAGAGGCCATTGCACGGGACAAGAGGGTGAAGGGCTGGATGGCTGCATCCCGGGCAGGGGAAGCTGCAGAGATCAGCTGGCTCAGTGTACAGCACTTGGGCTGGAGATCACTGCAGTGGGGCTTTCAGCACCCAGCCCTGTAGGACGTGGATACCACTGGAGATCACCACCCCCACCGGCTGCTTCTGTAGATCTGAGCAACTTCTACTGTCTCTCCCTTTCCTGGGGGGGGTGGGGGGAGGGACGTGCTGCCTGAGTCTGCTTCTGCGCTCGGCCTCATCACAAAGACACACGGGCGGAAGCCCAAGCACAGCTGTAACCCTTCCCTTCCTTCTCCCAGCCCTGGCCTAAGGGCAAGGGGAGGCTGGCGCTGTGGTGCCAGAGGGAGCAAAGCATGTAGGAAAACACACCCGAGTGCTGCACTGGATTGAAAGGAGTGTGTGTGCACCAGACCAATGCACATGCAGTGTAGGCGGCTCTCTGGCACTATTAATACCAAGCGCTTTGCGTGAGTAGCTCTCAAAGGTCACCACCAGCCCCATTTTACAGGTGGGGAAGCGATTTGCCCAACGTCAGCGGCAGAAATGGGGCTAAAACCCAGCACCGCTCAGTGCTCTAGCCGCTCACTCGCGCTGCCTTCCTCTTCAAAAGCTCTCTGGGTGGGAGAGAGAGCTCACCCTTGGGCCCCGCTCGCCCCACAGCGGCAGAAGGGCCCTCGCTCAGAGACGGGGCAGTAGCAGGGAATTCAGACGGAAGGATGATCCTCAACGCCCAGCCCCTATAATCCCAGTTCACCGCTGATACCACAACCGCAGCCTGAGCATTCCCAGCTGTGCCAAACGGGAGCATAAAGGCAGGGGGCGGGAAGCCGGCGCTGGAGCCAGTTGAAAATCTGACAAATCCCCGCCCCAAACAAAAAAGGGCCATTTTGTTTTACCCAGTTTCCTGGAACCGTAGCCCCTGGCTGAGAATTTCAGCCGGAAGGTGGGGCAGGTTCAGGCTGGAATTTCTAGGCAGAGCCTGGGCTCCAGCCTGCACTCAGGACACGGGAGTAAAGATGCTGTTTCAAAACCCCACTCTGCACTATTCAGAGCGGGGACAAGAGCCGGGAGGGCCCAGGCAGTTGCCCCAACTCCTGGGCTAGTGGCCGTTCTGGCCGGCAAGGCCAATTCTAGCATAAAAGTTCCAGAGGTCGTGGTTCTCTCTCTCCCCCCCCCCCCCGCAACAGAATAAAAATCTTTAAAACGTCCACTGCTTAGCCCCTGTCACCACCACCAAACAGACTAGTTGGTTTCTGGCCAGGCTGAGCCAGTGTTTCCAGCTATAGCAGGGTAGAAAGCCAGAAGTCAGGGCAGGCAGCCAGCAGTTTGCACAGACACACACCTGCAGGAGGGGGAAGGCAGGCCTTGTAACTAGGGCAGCCATCAGAACACCCTCCCCCGCCCCCCCCATACTTCCTGAAGCAGAGAGCTCCCCCCCAACACAGAGTAAGTGGGGGGGGGGAGAAGGAGGGAGATGTTTTTGCTCAACGGTTGGGCCCAAGGAGGCTGACGTACACACACAGGCTGCACTTGGCGGAGACCCCGGCCTGGAGGCAGCACCAGATGCCAGCTGGAAGGGTAAATCGCTGCAGGGACCTGTCGTGTTCCTGGTGAGTGCCAGGCAGGAAGTAGCAGCAGATCCACCTTGGCAGAAGGAGCAGGGGGTGGGTGGGTGGGGGGGGGCACAGAACTGTGCCCAGCTCCGTAGCTATACCGCCCCGGGAGGCACATGCACTTGGGGGAAGCAGGCCCTGCCCATCAGTCTTCTTGCAGGTGGCTGAAAAGAGGAGCAAGGGAGTTACAAGAGAGCTTCCCCCCCCAGCGGCTAGGGATGGGGACTGCTTCCATGCCCCTCGATTTTGCTATTTGCTCCCACGCTCAGAGCATCTGGAGCTAGGAACCCCAGCCAGACACAGACCCTACAAGCAGCCCTCTCCCCCCCTGCACCAGCTAGGCCAAAGCAGAACTCCACAGGACATTGGCGCCAGCCCCTGGTGCTCGCACATCTTTCTGCAGAAGAGACAGAAAACCTGAAGCAGGGCGGGGGCCCCTTCCAGCTGGGGCGCCGTGTTCCCTACCTACACCATGAAACCAGGGGCTTTGCCTCTGGTCAGTTACACGCCTCCTGTCCAGAGCCTTGTCCTGGCTCCCAAGAGACCCAGAGCCAGCAATCTAAGCAGCAACCCCCACCCCGGGAGCTCTCACCGCCACGCGGAAGACCCGGGGACACATACTCCAATGCACCAGGTCCAAAGGGGGGTGGGGGTAAGAATTCTAGCACATGCCAGCCTCTAACCCCCACCCCGTAACCAAGTACGTGTCCGCCCAAACTGCGGCATGATGGAGAATGAAACCCACGCAGGAAAAACGACTCCAAAATTGATCAACACTCAACCTAGTGCTAGGCACTGCCATTATCCCTGCTCCGACGCGAGGGGCAGGGGAAGGATGTCTCAATACACCCCAGCCCAAAGCCACCATCACCCCAGCTCCACTAGGACCGGCGGGGGTTACCCAGGAGCGGTTCTGGTTTGCCAGCCCTCACTCAAGATAGTTTCGGTACTCCACCGCACCACGGCCTGAGGTTCTCTACGGAGTCCAGGGCTCACCGCTCTCGGGGGGGATTGTTCGGGTGTTTTTTTTTATTAAATACAACCTAGAAGCCAGACAGCCAGGGGTGGAGTGGCCACTTCCTTCCCAGCTCAGCCTGGAGCATTAAAAAGAAAAAAGGAAAAAAAAAAAGTGTACAGCCATAAAAAAAAAAAAGTCCCCCAGTGTTCAGATTAAAAACCCAAAAGAATGAGCGCGCCCAGGCTCTAGGCAGACGCTGTCCCTTCGGGCCGAGAGCGATTTCCTCACTGGAAGGGGGCGCTGGCTGGAACTCCAAGGGTCCCCCACTTTGCTCTTCTCTCCAGCTTTGCCGACGACACCCCCACTCCCTTCCAGGGGTTCTTTGGAAAATCACTGCTGTGGATGTTTGTCCATGGGGCAGAGGTGGCGGGCTGGGACAGATGCCCGGCCGGCCGGTTCCCCCACGTCCAGCCACCTTTCAGTAAATGACCTCGTAAACCGTGGCCTTCTTGTCTCCCGAGCCGGTCACGATAAACTGGTCGTCGGTGGAGATGTCGCAGCTCAGGACCGAGGAGGATTCCTTCGACTGCAAGGAAGAGCGGGGAGAGGGGACGTAGCCAACCAGCTCATTTATAAGGCCGTGGAGTGGTGCAGTGATTTATACCAGCTGGCCTTGAACTACTTAGCACGGCCTCCAGGGAGACACTAGGCTGCGCTAGTTTAGAGAGCCGATTGTTTGAGGATAACGGATTAAGACAAATTTACTACTGGGCTAAAAAAAACCCTGGTCTCCTGCTGAGATGGCCTCTCCCGCTGCTGCCCCTGGTTTAACCCCTTGCCAGGACAAGCCACCCCCTTTGCTCACCTGGAAGATGCTGGCTCCGTAGGGCGTCCTCCAGGCATTCAGCAGGTTATCCTTCCCTGTGCTCACGAACCATTTACCTGCGGCAGAATGTCAGCGTGTGAGCAGGACGGAGGGAGGGGGCAAGTCTAGCTCAGGCCAAGCATGTGGCCCCGTCCCCAGGTGAGTCACAGGATAGCCCCAGGACAAAGAAGCAGGTGAGGGGAGGGGAATGTCTCCCCACCCCCTGCACAAAACCAGAGGCATGCACCAAAATTATACACCAAAGCCAAAGAAGCGAAGGAAAAGGGATCGTTCTGACTCAGGCAGAACAACCGGTGGATTGATGCCAGTGGAGAGCCAGGTGAGGCACTCTCATGCTTCAAGGAGTACCAGGCTCACTGCAGAGGGTCAGGAAGGAAGGCTCCTCTGCTTCCTCCTACCCCCACTGCAGAGCTGCCTAGGTGCACAGTGCAGGAGGGGCCGTTCGCCTTCCCCTAGGGGCTCAGACATGGGACTCTGCTGGCAAGAGGGTCCCAGAGCAGAGGGGATATGGGGCTGGGGCAGGACAGCTCCCTCCCACTGCAGGTGGGACAGTGGCATGGCTCCAGAGGCAGGACGCGGGCCTTCGCATTGAACCTTGGTACGAAGGGGTTCACAGCTCTGCTCAGCCCAGCCAGCCCACACAGCAGGTTATGAGTGACCGCGCGTCCTTACCGCAGGAGGCGAATTTGAGGGAGAGGACGCAGCTCTCATGGAGGTGGAGCTGGTACTTGTCCGGCTTGGCCACGTGCAGGATCTCCACGTTGCTGCTCTCCATGCCGACGGCCAGCCACTCCCCTGAGGGACAGTAACCCAGCGAGAAGATCTGGGGAGAAGGCAGAGTCAGGCCCCAGGAAACGGGTCCCTGCCCAGCTGGCTCTCTGGGGGAGGGGAGAGCACAGCGCCCTCCTCCACCCGCTCGGGTTCTGCAGCACCCCATCGCCCACCTACCTGGGAGCTGAAATCGTGCTGCTGCAGCTGGCGCCCCTCCCGCAGGTCCCAGCACCGCACCGTGTTATCCAGCCCCCCCGTCCACAGCTTGGTGCCGTCGTTGGAGATATCGATGCAGCTGGCGCCGTCCGTGTGGCCCTGGAACTGCCTGGAGGGGAGAGCGCGGCCGTCAGGCACCATCGCCTGCTGCAGGTTCGGGTCCTGTGGCCAGGGGGCAGGCAGCACCTCCCCACTCCAGCGCTAGCCAGCCGCACCGCATTGCAGCCCGGGAAGGCAAACCCCGGCGCTCACCTGACCAGAGTCTGGTTCTGCAGGTCCCACACCACGATGTTGCCGTCGCTGCAGCAGGAGA